TCGCTCTCCTCAGCCATCTGCACCTGCTGCTGGCTAACCACAACAAAGACAGGCCCAAAATTGCAATATCTCTACATCTCCCTTGCCCCATAGCAGGGGAGAAGTGGCCGACATACGCAACAGGAGGTATCCTTTGTCTGTGAGATTGCCATCATCATCATCATCATCATCGCAATCACAACCACAGCTTATAAACTAAGGTGGCTTGTCTGAATTCAGAGAATTTTCTCCCCCAGATCTCGTCTTGCGTATCATCTGCATTGCACATTAATTTATGCGTACGGTAAGTAGGTAGGTCTTCAACCCATCCATATGGAGCTGAGGAACATGAATACTAAAGTGGCTTATTTATACATCTGGAGGGACATTTCTGCATAAAAGCCAGGCCTCGGTGGGAACAGTTTGGCTTCTGGCCTCCACTTCGCTTGAAAACAAATGTGGAACAAATGCTGCTATTGGCAAAACACAGAGAGACCTGGGCGTGATTTTCACAGTGGAGAAATTTGGAAGCAGGCCTACAACTGCTAAACAGGTCATCTGAATCACGCTCATGTTTGTCAGTGAGATACCTGCCCAGGTTTCAGCCACTGCATGCAAAACAGCTCCTTAATGGAATAAGAGAACAACAGCGTTAGAAGGGACCTTGGAGGTCTTCTAGTCCAACCCTCTGTTCAAGCAGAGGGCGACCTTATACCATTTCATAAAAATGGCTGTCCAGTCTCTTTTTAAAAACCTCCAGTGCTTATAATTTCTGGAAGCAAGTCGTTCCACTGGTTAATCGCTTTCACTTTCAGGAAATTTCTCTTTCGTTCCAAGTTTTCTCCTTGATCCGTTTTATCCATTGTTTATCTTGGCTTCTGGGGCTTTTGGGGAATAGCTTGACTCCCTCTTCTTTGGGGCAGCCCCTCAACTATTGGAAGACTGCTATCGTGTCTCCCCTGGTCCTTCTCTTCACTTAGCTAGGCATACTCAATTCCTGCAAAATTCCTTAAAGGTTGGTTTTTTTTTTTTTTTTCAGATCAGGCGTTTGGATGCATTTCCAAAAATGTTAGGTTGTCATTTCTCATCAGATTTGACCAAAAATCTTACATTTAGGAAAATGTCAACATCTGTTTGTTTATAATATTCTGATAATATTTGGGAGGTAACATTAACACACACACACCACCCCGATATCAAACCCAGCTACAGGTCAGCTTCGACTTGCATTCTTTTAGTGACTGCTCAAAGTTACAACAGCATTGAAAAAAGGGACTTAAAAGCAATCCTCGCACTTACAACCGTCAAGTAGCCAAAGTCATGTGATCAAAATTTGGGCTGTTGGCAAAAGGTGTTTATAACAGGTGCAGCAACCCAGGTCCATTTGAGGCCTTTCTTCTGACAAGCAAAGCCAAAGGGGCAGGCTGGATTCACTTAATGACCACGTGATTTGCTTAACAACTGCATTGGTTCACCTCTATAAACGTAGTCAAATAAGATCAAAAATTAAATTAGAATGAGACATATCTATCCTATTGCAAACCGAATGAGATGGTTTTTTGTTTGCCTTTACGATGCAGGGAGTCCTCGACTTACAACCATAATTGAGCCCATCGTCTCTGTTACTAAGCAAGACAGAGTTTTGCCCCATTTTATGACCTTTTTTGTCACAGCTGTTACGTGAATCCCCATAGTTGGTAAGCTAGTAAATGTGGCTTCAGAAGATCGCCAAAGAGGATCACATAACCCTGGGACACTGCGGCCGTCATAAATATAAGACAGTTGTGAAGCAACTGACTTTTGATCACGTGACTGCTGGGATGCTGCAATGGTCACAAGGGAACAATAGCCCTAAGTCCCCTTTTCCAGTACCGTAGTAACTTTGAACGGTCACTAAATGAATGGTTGTATGTTGAGGACTCCCTGTAATTAAATGGAGCAAATTTGAGCCAAAAAGAAGAAGAGGAGGAGGAGAGGAGAAGAAGAAAGAGGAGGAGAAGAAGAAGAAGAGGAGGAGGAGAAGGAGGAGGAGGAGAGGAGGAGGTGGAGAAGAAGAGGAGGAGAGGAAGAGGAGAAGGAGAAGAGAGGATTAAATAAATTACACGGTCATGAATTTCATAAATATTCCCTCACTGCTATCTGCTTTTGGGGGGGGGGGGGGGGAAGGGCTTGCCAAACCCAGTTAAGTAATCTGTGATTGGATTGCTGCCTGTTCTCCCGACTCCGCAGGCGCAAACATCAAAGGGAAAGCAATAATTTTATTTTTAATTATGTATCAAGCCGGCAGATGGGTCTTGATGAGATGAGGAACAAGTAACTGGTTACTACCGATTCGAGGAAACGCTGAATAGGAAGCTTCAAGTCACACTCAGCTGAAAATAGCTGCTCTACACAAAAAATAAATATGTATATGCTTGGGTTAGGAAAAACAGAAAAAGAGAGAGAGAGAGAGAGAGAGAGAGAGAGAGAGTTTGTCTGTGCGTATTCAGGCTGGCAGCTTGTTTTCATTCTCTCCAGCCAAATCAACTCTTTGCCTTCAGGCTTCCTGGTTCCAAAGGTGGAAAATGGGACACTTTGCTTTGCATATTTGCCAAGTGGGGCTTCTCTGTCTGTCTGTTTGTCTATCTCTATTTTTCTATCTGTCTGTCTGTCTCTGTCTGTCTGTCTGTCTTTCTCTCTCTCTCTCTCTCTCTCTCTCTCTCTATCTATCTATATATTTTTATCTATCTCTATTTCTCTCTCTCTCTCTCATCTATCTATATACCTTTGTCTATCTCTATTTTTCTATCTGTCTCTCTCTCTCTCTCTCATCTATATATCTTTATCTATCTCTATTTTTCTGTCTGTCTCTCTCTGTCTCTGCCTCTCTCTGCCTCTCTCTCATCTATCTATATACCTTTGTCTATCTCTATTTTTCTATCTGTTTGTCTGTTTGTCTCTCTCTCTCTCTCACATCTATATATTTTTATCTATCTCTATTTCTCTCTCTCTCTCTCATCTATCTATATACCTTTGTCTATCTCTATTTTTCTATCTGTCTATCTCTCTCTATCTCTATCTCTATCTCATCTATATATCTTTATCTCTATTTTTCTGTCTCTCTCTGTTTGTCTCTGCCTCTCTCTGTCTCTCTCTCTCATCTATCTATATACCTTTGTCTATCTCTATTTTTCTATCTGTTTGTTTGTCTGTCTGTCTCTCTGTGTTTGTCTCTCTCTCTCTCTCTCATCTATATCTTTATCTATCTCTATTTTTCTGTCTGTCTGTCTCTGTTTGTCTTTCTCTCTCTCTCTATCATCTATATATCTTTGTCTATCTCTATTTTTCAGTCTGTCTGTCTGTTTATCTATTATGATCTTTCTATCTGTCTCTATGACTGTCTCTCTCTGTCTGTCTCTGATTAACTCTCTCTTGGCGTGTCTTTCTGTCTGTCTCTGTTTCTATCTGTTTGTCTATCTTTCTGTCTCTCTCTTTCTCTCTGACTGTATCTCTCTGTTTGTCTTTCTGTCTGTCCAGCTGTCTCTATCTCTCTGTCTGTCACTGTCTGTCTGTCTGTCTATCTCTGTCTGTCTGTCTTTGTCTCAATCTGTCTGTCTCTTTTCACAATCCACACACCTGAATTTGGGTAAAGAGTAAAACCCATGGGGGCGGGGTATGACAACAAATGGAGTGTTGAATTCAAAACCTTTCCAGAAAATTTTCTTAGCAACTTTGTGGACTTCAACTCCCAGAATTCCACAGCCAGCTTTGCTGGATGAGGAACTCTGGGAGTTGAAATCCACAAATCTTAAAGTTGCCACGGTTGGAGTCCCCTGGATGAGAAGACCTCTAAAATTCCTTCCAGTTTGGCCTGTTCTGTTACCTGTTTATAGGTAGTGCTTGACAATAAACCATTCAGTGACTGTTCAAAGTTTACAATGGCATTTAAAAAAAAAGTGACTTATGTCTGTTTTTCACACTCACAACCAGTACAGCATCTCCACAGTCATGTGATCAAAATTCAGGTGCTTGGCAACCGACTCATATTTATGACGGTTGCAGTGTTCCAAGGTCACGCGATCCCTTTTTACGACCTTCTGACAAGCGAAGTCGATGGGGAAGCCAGATTCGCTTAACAAGCATGTTACTAACTTAACAAGTGCAGTGATTCGCTTAACAATGGTGGCAAGGAAGGTCGTAAAACGGGGCAACTTGTTTAACAATCGTCTCTCTTAGCAGCTGAAATTTTAGACTCCGTTGTGGTCATAAGTTGAGGACTACCAGTTTCACTGTTTCAGCCAGTTGAGCTACCAGGATTTGACTGCTCCACTAACCACGGTGGCACAGTGGTTAGAGTGCAGTACTGCAGGCTACTTCTGCTGACTGCTGGCTGCCTGCAATTTGGCAGTTTGAATCTCACCAGGCTCAAGGTTGACTCGGACTTCCCTCCTTCCGAGGTGGGTAAAATGAGGACCCAGATTGTTGGGGGCAAGAGGCTGACTCTGTAAACTGCTTAGAGAGGACTGTAAAGCACTATGAAGAAGTATATAAGTTTAAGTGGTATTGCTATTTTCCTTCCTTCTTTCCTTCCTCTCTCCCTGTCTCTTCCTTTTCCTTCCTTCCCTCCCTCCTTCCTACCTTCCTTCCCCCTTCCTCCCTCCCTCCTTCCCTGTCTCTTCCTTTTCCTTCCTTCCTTCCCTCCTCCCTCCCTCCCTTAAATATTACTTTCTGTTGCTTTTGATCTTTCTTTAAAAGTCTAATAACATTATTATTAGGTAAAAAAGAGGAAGAAAGAGTTAGGTTGAAAGTATAAGTTCCTCTGCCTTCGGGTCAGACTAGAAGACCTCTAAGGCCCCTTCCAGCCCCATGATTCTAGGTGTAATTATAAAAAGTAAAACCCCCACTGGAGTTTCATCAGGAAAGAGCTTACAAAAACCATAGCTCAGCTTGTCCCCAGCTCAGCTTGCTGTGTTGTTGTTGGGTTGTTGTTTTTTAAGACCCCTTGACCAAGCACACTCTAATACGTTTTGTGTGTGCTTGGGAAAAGTTGCCTAACTTCAGATGACACCTGTTAACTCAACCCAGTTTGCTTGTCATCCCCTGATGGTTATTCATGTGGATTGAGAGGAACCCACCCACTCTCTTTGCAAGTAACCAGCAGAGCTTTTAATTCAACTGCTGGTGGACAGCCAGTCAGCTGCAGATTGGGGAGTTGTGAGTAAGACCTCACACCTTGCTTATCCTTCACATTACTTGTGTACCAAACAACCCAGTTCCTCATATTAGCAAGGGACCAAGTGACAACAGAGCAAAATTCCTTCGTGTTGACATGAAGTCTCCAAAGCAAGGAGGGTTCTGTGTATTATTTCTGCTGATTCTGCCATTCCTGGTAAGTAAGAAGTTTTAAATTGCTTATTTCTTTCCCCCTTACTTTTTCCCTCGTGGGTCTGTTTGAAAATATGTGCAAGAGAATAATATTTCAGTGGGCAGAATTATTGTGGGGGGGACGGCTCAGAGAGGCACTTTTGAGGAAGATAAAAGGTGGATCTGGATGATCTCTGCATACTGAGAAAAAATTTGAGCATACCAACACCACAACAGAAAACCCTACAGTTATTTTTTTGCATAGGTTGCAAATAATTGATAAGATTTATGAGGTTATGGGGAATCAGAGATTAAGCAAGGATGGGTTGGCATGGACTGAGAATTTGGTAATTGAGATGGTTGGATGCCTAGAATGTTACTGCTAATGTAGTACCTAAAAGAGAAAGTTTCTGCCTTGCTTTAATTCAAATAATTCAAGTTTAATTCAATTTAAAGTAGGAGAAGCAGAAGGAAGAGGATATTATAGGAGGTATAAACTTTCATTCTGATAAAGAATCCCAGAGACATAGAACACATGCCCTGTCCCCTGAGTGCCACCACAAAACAGTTTCTGATTTGTTTAAAAATATGCTGTATATTTGAAATTTAAACGAGACAGAATCTCAGTTTGAAGGAGAAGGGCAGTTCTGAGATATGAAGGATAAATAAATGAATAAAAACCATGCACCAGGGAAAAACACATACTTGGAATACTGCATCCGGTTCCGGTTGCCACAATGTAAAAATGATGTTGTGATCCTAAGAAAAGTGCAGAGAAGAGCAACAAAGATGATTAGGGGACTAAAAACATATGAAGAAACAGTTGCAGGAATTGGGTAATATTTAGTTTAATTGAAAAGAAGGATTAGAGATAGCATGATAGCAGTCTTCCAATATTTGAGGGGCTGGCACAAAGGAGAGAGAATCAGTCTATTTTCCAAAGAACCTGAATTCAGCACAAGAATTAATGGATGGAAACTAATCCAGGAGAGAAGCAAGCTAGAACTAAGGAAGAATTTCTAGACAGTGAAAGCAATTAATCAGTGGGACAACTTCTGTGCAAAAGTTGTAAATGCTCCAATCACTGGAGGTTTTTTTTTTTTTTAAAGACACTGGTTTCCTGCCTGAGCAGGGGTTGGACTAGAAGACCTTCATGGTCCCTTCTCGCTCTGTGAGGATGCTGATCATATTATAAGATTCCTTTCTGACAAACAAACAAACAAAAAAATCACAGATGTAGTTGAACAGCCCCCAAATGGTCTCTCGAGTGCTTCCCTGACAGCTTCTTACTTGTCTAAAAATAGGCTGTATGTTTGAAATAAATCAATGAAACCTCCTCCAGGGAGATTCGGGGCGGCTGAGAGGTAGGAAAAGATAACAGACAAACTCCATGAACAAGGAAAACACGGAGCAACTACTTTGGACAAACTGTACCTTCCTGGTTGCTTCGGTTGAATGAAAAACTGGAAGGGAAGAACAGTTTGGTGGGGGGGGGGTTCTTTTTTTTTTTTTAGAGCAACCAGACATAAAATCTGCTTCAAAATTCAACTTTGTTCCCTCCTCCCTATGGGGTTAAAGTTAAGGGTCGAAAGGATGGGGGGAATTGTTGAAAATCATCATTCAGTTAATTTCTTTGACGGGGGTAAATTGAGGCTGGAAGGGTGAAAAAGTTATTAAAAATAAAAATTCAGGGTCGTTCCCCCCCATATTCTCTCTCTTTCTCTCTCTTTCTCTCTCTCACTCACACACACACACACCTCTCTCTCTCTTTCAACTATCTTCTCTCTCATCTATCATCTCTCTCATCTTTCTCTCTCTCAACTTTCTCTCTCATCTCTCTCTCTCTCATCTATCGCTCATCTCTTTCTCTCAACTATCATCTCTCTCTCTCCCCCTTTTATTCTATATTATTAGATTGCTTTATAATTCTTGTTGCTGGCTTGAAGTTTGATTCGTTCACCGGGCACATCTCAAAGAGTGAGTCAAAAGTAACAGGAAAAACTTCTGACAAGCTCAAATTGTCATTAACATATATTTTTTTTAAAAAAAGTCCCAACTTTGCAATGATATGGTTTTGATTTTAGCTCTTTTTTTTTTAAGAGGGGGCTATCTGTCCAGATGATATGGGTTAAAAAAAAATCAGAACTGCAATATTTTTTCCTTATTTTAGTTCATGTTTACAAGTTTTGCTAGATTGTACATTAGTCTGTCTTGAAATGTCAGGGGAAAAGAAGGAAGCCACTGTCCTCTTGGGCATTTGTGATATAATTGTGTGCAAAAGACGCAAATGTTGTCATTTATATGAATTATGACATCTTCTACCAGATGTCTATGTTGGGGAACCGGCTTTCTTCGCTAATGTCATCTAAACATTGGACAACTGACCAAGAAAGATCTGATGGAATCTCATCATGATCTTTATAAGATGCGTCCTCCAAACAAGGGACAATTGACCAAGAAAGATATGATGGTTATCAACATGATGTTCATAAAGTGACATTAACAAAATGGCAAAACAAGCTTGGTATAAAAGTTCGTAACATTGGTATGACTCCCTTAACAACTGCCTTCCTTACCAATGGAAATTCCTGTCTCATTATAATCGTAAGTTGAGGACTATCTGTAACTGCATTTTGGGGTTGTTGTTTTTTTTGCCAGTACTGAAGTCTATAGATTGTGTGTATAAATAGCATTGCAGAATGATTTTTTTTCCTTTAGGAGAAACCTGCAGAGATTTTGCCATCTGTCTCCTTATGCCAATTTTCCAAATCACCTTTTTTTCCTCTTCTCTGAATTTGGGGAATTTCAAAAACACGCCAGTTCTTGATAACTTGTATTCCAGAGAAAGGAAGTATCTTCGGATCAGGGTCTCAGGGGTAAAATGTGTACAGGCAGTCCTCAAGTTCCGACAGTTCCTTTAGTGACCGTTCAAAGTTACAACGGCACTGAAAAAAGTAACTTATCATCATTTTTTACACTTATGTGACACCCCCGTGGTCATGTGATCAAAATTCACTTGGCAAGCAAAGTCAATGGGGAAGCCAGATTCACTTTACAACCATGTGACTAACTTAACCTGCAGTGACTCACTTAACAACTGTGGCAACAAAAGGTCGTAAAACTGGGTGAAATTCAGTTAACAAATGTCTTGCTTAGGAACAAAAATTTGGACTGAACTGGGGTCGTAACTCAAGGACGACCTGTAAGGGTTTTAAGTGGTTTTTGTTCTTTCCTGTACCTGTGCTGTATTACTAACAGGAACATAGTTGGAAGGGACCTTGGAGGTCATCTAGTAGAGCCCCCTGCTTGCTCAGGAAACCCCATATTATTTTTTGACAAATGGCTGTCCAGCCTCTTCTTAAAAGCCTCCATTGATGGGGCAACCCACAACTTCTGAAGTTAATTTGTTCCACTGATTAATTGTTCTGACGATTAAGAGTTTTCTCCTTAGTTTTAGGATCCCGTTTTAGGGTCAGGATGGGATGTCACTTTCCATTTATTATTTCTAGGCCCTGGGGACCCTTGAACCAGACTGTGTCGCCATCACAGAGTGGAAACAGAATGAAACCGACTGCTTAGAAGAGATCCAGCTGCACATGAACGAAACCGCAGGTATATATATACGCAGGGAATTGGGGGGGGGGGTTGCGGTTTCTCCGCCACTTCATGTCGCGATTTGAACATGTTGGAACCACTCTTAGGTGACTATAATCTTGAGCGTCACTGCTGTGTTGACAGGAGAGAATATAAAAGACTCCAGAAGCATACCTGGTGGTCTCTGAGCTTGGTTCTTTGCTTGCAGGTGTTGCATGACCTGCCTAGGCAACATCATCAGGGATAGAGGAAGAGGGGGGAAGGAGGAGGAGGAGGAGGAAGAGGAGGACTGTAGGGTCTTTGGTGCTCTCTGAGCTTGGTGGTTTTCCGGCAGATGTTTCAGGACCCAGCTAGAGAACTTCATCAGGGCTGGAAGGGAGTGGGTTTGCAGAGAGGAAGAGGACTTTGGAGTCCAACCCTAAAGGGTACTTACTACTTTCCACTCATTATTTGGGGGCCATTTTAAAGTTCATTCAATGGGTTGGTGAATTCGGGGTCTTCTATTCTCTTTTCAAGGATAGTGGAGATCTTTTTTTAAAATGATTTTTCTTCCATTTGCAAGGTTGCAAAAGACTCTGGGACCGGCTTCTGTGTTGGCCAGATGCAAATCTTGGAGAGTCGTTTTCTTTCAATTGTCCAGGCATCATTTTCCACTTCACAAAGGAATCAGGTGACAAACACCTTCTTTCTTTCCATCTTCCGTCTTCTTTCCTTTCCTCTTCCTTCCTTCCTTCCTTCCTTCCTTCCTTCCTTCCTTCCTTCCTTCCTTCCTTCCTTCCTTCCTTCCTTCCTACATTCATTCATTCATTCCAGTGGTGGGATTTAAATTTTTTT